GTGCGCGTTTTGTATATAGGACAGATTGTGAACTGGGGATTGCAATTCTTTGCGCATTCATCTATGTGTGCGCTAAGGGGTATACATCTATAATTTGGGGTTTTAATTTGTTGTTTATGTACTCAGACTCTTGCTCTCAATACATCCCCCGTTTGACCAATATATTCTTCGCCACAACCAGCGCATGTTATTACATATATTAGGTTTCTAGAGGCGCAAGACATATTTTCCATTATTATGAATTTTGAGTTATTCCTAAAGGTGAATGAATTTACCTCCAAAATGTGTGAACATGTGCCGCAATTCGGCCTATTACATTTCGTGATACTTCCACCTAACACAGGTTTTTGATCAATAAAGCACGCTTTTGATAACAGTTGTTTCAGATTTTTGCTCAGCCGTTTACTGTTTATCATTTTAGTACCTTTTAGAGCATGTTTTAGTTTTGGACATGTGTCTAGCGCCTGTACATAGTTTCTCACATTTGGATAAACATTTGGGTTGTAGGGGTTGAATGTAGTTATAATAGGTAAGACTGTCAAATTGTTTTCTTGTTCCCTTTGTTTTAGAAGATCTTCTCGGTTAAAAGAACGGGCCTTTGTTATAGCATCCAAAATTATATTATCAGGATACCCTCTGGCTTTTAATAGTTGCCCTTAACTTTAAACTTGACATAGCTTTATTAAAATAACATTTTTGGTTTTTACTGTTTATTGCCTCTAATGTTTATTCCCCTGTGTAAATTTATACATTCATTGATTGTATTGGTTTTCTTGAAGGCAGGATTGGTAATTGCGAGCGGTAAATAATATTTTTAATTCCGAGGGCAAACACACTTAAACAATACGACTGCAAAGTATCGCCTTAAACTATCGGGTCAGGTTGTGCAGTGCAAGAATAACGCTTTACAAAACATGGACACAGAAAATAATGCAGAGCAAACTACAACATGGTGTGTACCTGAGGGAGCATATATTTAATGTTTACAAAAACATCTGACACGATCATCCATATATTTGAAGAAAATATCATTTATTAGAATCAAGTGCGATAATACCATATGCACCAGGAACCGAACATGACGCCATAATCGCCATCTTGGAATTGTGACGTCATATCAAAATTCGAATTGTCCAAGTTAATAATTCTCATCATCTTTAAATTATGATATGACGATATGAAGATTGATTATCATGCAGCTGCAGAATCCAGCAGTAGTTATACTTTGTAATGCGTAGTTAAATGTTGACGTCACGTTAACCCCATTGTTGTTTCACCTGGTTATCCGAGGTCAAGTCAATATTTGATCCTTGGTAAATCAATGTTGAGTAACGTGTACAGAAATCTGCTATATAGAAACAAACTGAAGCTGCACTCACAAGACTTTAGATAAATTTTAAACATAGTGTAAGTTACTGTAATAAAAATAAGAATGCTATTATTAAAATTCTTATACATATCAACCAAGGCTCAGTGAAATATTAAACCTAGCATTTTTTCAGAATAAAAATGATAGATAAATATTAGATAATCAATTTATAGTAGGTAATACGATTGGGGTAAAGTACCATATGGTTGAGTAACAAGGGTCTAGTTGTGTAACGCGTGCGTGTGAAATCACGAGGTCTGTCATTGCGTCAAGTGGCGTGGTTTCGATTCCCAGCTTGTTCGTAGGAGTAGGATCAGCTCTCCAACCTCGTGGGTTTTCTCCAGGTTTTCCAGTTTCCTCTCACTGCTAAAGATCCTTATGCGCAAGCGAATTATTGAAATAAAATTGAACCATATGGTAATTCCGAAATGACCTAGTTTGTGTCGAGTGGACGTTAATTCCATTTCCTCTTCTCTCTGTCTATTCACGTTAGTTTTAGCTTGAGCATTGTTAATGATGATACGCAGTTACCCCCCGACATATCTTTATAAATTACATACTAAGGACATCGTTACTATAAAAAAAAAACAGGCGTCTTTATTAGGACGATATATTCTGACAGGAAGATTTGTACATACTATAATGTAGAACATACATACATTACTTAAATGACATGGCAATCAAACGAGAGCAATGCATGTTATTTTTAATATTTCTTTATTCATCTACTGATTGAATTAAAATCCATTAATACCCAAAAAGGTGGGCTGACATTTACTAGTGCACGTTAATAAAAGTGTTCTCGTCCAATTGTGAACACGTGGACTTTTTTAATCTTATGTAACAAAGCGTCGTGATAAGCCAGTCTATTTGATTTAAAGAGTGATTTTAAAGCTCTGTATGTTCCATGGTAAAATACCTTTTGATTTTTGCCATCTTATTTATAGAAAGCTCCCAAACAATCAAACGAATCAAAGATTAACAAGACGAATTTTAGACTTTGATATTTTTGTTGTACGAGTCACCAAAAGCATTGTTAAATAGATGGCATATTGATGACAAGTAATTTCTTTTGTTCAATTAGCCCCTAGTAGATGAGTGATAATCGTTGCCAAGATCGTTATTATACAGTTACAAACGTTACAGACACGTTCGGCACACACAAGTAAATCCCGGAACTCTTCGTTTATCTCTCAGTTTGGTGACTATCGCTAGCTGTGAAAGGAATGACAGTAACATTTTAATCCGGGGCGTACAAGATGTCTGAAATAACAAAAGAAACACGTGTTCAAGTGATATTCTTAAATAAGTTTATTCTGGACATACCAAAGACATCACTCAACTGCTGTAGTTATGTTTAAAACAAACGTTCATTGTTCAACTAATCTTATTCTGCACTAGCACGATACCCGGCTTCGCCCGGTGCCCAAATTCGCTTAGGGGCCCAATTCACCCGGATCCCAAATTCGCACAGTGCCCAAATTCGCCCGGGGCCCAAATCTGATGGCCTAAAACATTCAAGGGGTCATTGCTGGTTAATTTGATACGTAGGGGTGGAGGGCGGTGACGAAGCATGAATTTGCCCGGGACCCAAATTCGATGGTCTAAACCATTCACGGGGTTATGCTAGTTAATTTAATACCACATGTGGGGGTGGATCGCGGCAACGAAGCGTAATGGGCGAACATACACCCACACACACATACACACATCTTTGATTTTATTTATAATCTTTCAATGTATTTGTTGTTGCATTCCTAAGATTTCATTCCGCCAAAAACGTAGTTTTTTTTGTTTAAATTTCCAGTACTACTAATTTATCACCCAGATTATGTTGCAGATATTGTAAGATATTTGACTTCCGACAAAATTTTTAGTCAGTTGGATGTATGAATAAATTGCATACCTCTTCTTTATTGTATAAGAGGTTAAATTATATTATACTTTATATCACGCCAATCGTAGAATCTACTTTATTTAAATTTGAATAGTGCATATAGGCGTGAAAAGTGTATCGGATAGCTGAAACCATAACCTTTAAATTGTACCTTAGAATGGTATTGACATGCCGACCATTGTATAAACGATAGAACATAATGATGAGGGAGGAAATGTTTGGCCTTCGATCACAAGGATTAACCGGATGTTGCCTAATGTAAGGAAATGTTAGGCATGCTTTTATAAAATACTGTATTGTCACCATAAATGACATTCTGGACATTCAGTCATTGATCTTTATGGTTTATGTAATTTTCGGAATCTATACAATTTATATTGGAAACTAACCAATTATAAGTAAATCATATTAACAAAACAGCATTACTAACTATTAGATTTGTCATTATGAATATCGACAGGTTGATATGCGATGAAAACATTAAAGTATAAATCATACACAGTCAAACCTGATCATGTCTATTTGTATTATTATTATAATTTACATCAATTTAAGAAGCATTCCATAGTGATTTGTTGTTAAATTCAGCTATAACAAATATAATTCACGTTTATTCTCCCAAGTTTATAATCTTGTTATCAAAAATTAATTTGATATAAAATTATATAATTGTGGTTTTACCTAGAGAAGAATACTGGCAAAAGAAAATTTCAAATCCTTCATTCCAGACTTCGCCTATTAAACCGTGAATTTAATGGACATGCATTTTTAAGACACATAACCGACTCCCCAACCTGCCGATGTGGGCACGGGCACAACATTGAAGATCCTTATGCAGGAAATACAACTATAACACATTACCAACAGAATGCATCAACACAAACAGTCTAATAATGGTTCTTCGGATATTTCACTTGATCAAAATAATTTAATATTTTTCGAGGTGCATACATGTTTAGAATTAAGTAATATATTTTAAGTTCTGCCATCCTCTATTATTTTGCATTACATTCAATATCACTATCGCTAGTACTATCTTCTGATATATTTAGTTGCTAGGTCAACATCTCATATCTTTATTTTGTAAACGAAATACGAGTAATCTGGCTGTATATCATGGCTCTTCATTGTACACGTGCAATAACTTAACTAAACCTTTGATTTGTCATGTGTATAATGAAATTATAAGGATGATTTAAGCTGTGGTCTGATTATTGCCTGGCGATATTGTTTCTGGTTGAATTACTGTCAGAACTTAACTAATCCCTATTATTTCTGACTTTTTAAGACAGGGTATTGAAAATACGGATAAAACTTGTAATCGATGGATGTGTAAAATTTCACCAGAACGTCATATTTACGTCTTTTTAGTTCAGTGATACAAAATATGCCACCCTTATTTGTCAAGCCATATGTCGCTTTGAACTGGGGTTCTAGTCATAGTCAGAATATAATCTAGACAATTTCGCAAGTTTAACTGTCGAAATCCCCGAACAAGGAGAAAGAAAGGAGCATATCGGAAATAAATATTGACCATTTTATTAGAGTGGAGTGTTTTGTGTGTTTTTGGTTTGTTTGGTTGGGTGATGGCTAGATCTAACGATAGCTTGTCTACTGATCTGTGTGTTTTTACAAGATACTTTATTGACTCAATGTTGACTTCCCATTTTGTTTAGTTTTGAAAACTTCTGACAACTGTTTGTTTACTTCGTGTTGCCCGTATAAAAGGTGGATCAGGACCAAAATGTAAAACAGATTGACGTCTAAAACCAATCAGTGGAATACGATATAACTGTTTTAATTCGTGTATCAGACCACAAGTGTTCATTTTGGATATTTTGAAATTCGTTTCAAGATGCAGATGAAAGTGCTTTTAGTGTGTTTCGTCATTGGGATGTGTTCTGCGGACAAGTTCCCTGTCCCTACAAGGTATAACACATGGGTTGCAGGAACCAACAATTGTTCGTGTTCCAACCAGATTGAAACATTAAACAAAGATTTACAGAAAGAAGTTGCTGCCAGACAAGAGCTAAAGGGAACAATGGAAACCTACGTATCGGAGCTGCAAGCTCTTCGAGCTATTGTGAATTCCATCCAAAACGGAACCAAGGACGTAAAAAGAGGTAAAGAAAGAATGTTATTGATTCCTTTCTGTAATTTATAATAAATAGATTAATAGTTACTGGTAATAAAAATCTTTAATACCATAGACATATAATAAATAGATCAATAGTTACAGGTAATGAAAATGTTTAATAACATAGACATTGAATATGTAAAGGGGTCACTAAAAATTTTGGTTTTTAGAAATCACGAATAATGATTTTATTACAAACGTATTACTTCCTACATTATTCACATGAAATATTCCAGCGTTCATTACTTGATTTTATTCTACGCATTGATATTATTCTAATAATCGTTTTGATGAGAGTTGATTTTTATATTTCTGTCTGTGTCCGAGGTTAGCGATACTAATGATTAATAATTAATTATTAAACAGGCATTATGCAACAGCTAATTCTGCCTATTGCAGGCCTTTTTTTATGTCTGAAATGTTATTTAAATTAGACATTAACTTACCAAGACCATAATCAAACCTTGATGTCATCCGATGGCTGCGATATAATTAGATTTAAATATGTTTTGTGGTCGATGCGGTTACCGTAAAAATGGATAACCGAGACATTGTTTATTATCGAAACAACGGTAGTAATGACAATTGTATCGCCGAAATCTAGGCTCCGAGTAAAGTAATTTGACTGATATTTTCAGCAAATTCTCATTTCATTATCTATTTTCTAACAATTAAAGCGAGAACTGTCAGCTCGTTATCTAATCTTACCTAATGCCCCTTTAAAAAGTGAATAGTTTTTGATATAGGTGAACTTTTCCAAAGAAAAAAACAATCTGTGATTTCTGCGTATCGTGTCTTGTCCGTAAATGTGTCTTGGGTAATTGTTTGTGTGTGGTGCAGCCCCCCCCCCCTGCACTTACTATTAAGGTGGTAAACATGGTAATTGTGTATTACTTTATGATAACTTATTTTTATATTCGTCTGGTCGTTTGTATTGATAGTTTGTATATAGCTTCATTATTTATATATACATATAGATTGTAAAAACAGTTTATACGGTATTCTAAAGTCTTCTTTCCACAAAAGACTCGGTATATGATAGAAAATTTGTTAGATTAACACAGTTTATTCGAACAACGATTCCGCTAGGCTACTTTGTGACTTTCAAACTGTCGAAGTTACTTCTCAGTTAAAAAGGTTTTTGTGCCACCTTTAAACTCCATTTCTTTGTGTAATCCACGTCGATAGTATTATTAGGACATTGCTCTGACAATCAGAAAGTCACAGATACGAATTCCGGTCTTGCTCATGAAGAAACTCAGGGATGTCCGGGCTTTACTTGTCAGTGTGTGGTGTCAAATCGGTCGGACTAGACAAAAAACAAGGCCATTTATTTCTCTAGAATTTCCTTGTGGTACTGGTACTATAACACAATACACAGAAGTTCTACGAACCCTTAACATATAAACTTACAATTAATCTTATAATTTTGAAATGTACGCAGGTATTTAAAACAATTTTAATGGAAAAGTAAGCACAGCTCGATATACCCCAGGTCTTCGACATTACCAGCATCCTGATAGCGCATAAAAACGAAAACTAAGGCGATATATAGAAGCTACATCAATTGGGTTATTTATTATTACCAATAATTTTACAGTTATTTTCTACAGTCTACTTGAAGTCTTTTGTGGTACATTGTTTAAAAATCAATCATTATGTTTCGGATTGATTTAGGAACATGGAAGATATTGGGATAAACATTAATTTCAAATTAAATAAAGGAAGATATTGTCATATAACCAAAGCGTTGCCAGTACACTCCCGTTGTACCTAATACTAGATACTTTGGAGCCAATAAATATTAATAATTTCTGTTAAAATATCAAATCACATTAGATTTCGTTGAATAAACTGTCAATTCTGTCAAATTGTGCGAAAGTGCAAATCGATGTTGTTCGATTGCTACACCAACAAAGTAAACGTCAACGTCGTTAAATATTGAAAATAAAATACAGTAACCGTCTGTTGTTTTACAAACCAAAACCTACCCATTCCCCATGTGACAGCTTAAGCCATACGCAAGTTACAAATATCTCCGCTTGAGAACAAACGAGTCGAAAACACTAAGGTTACTTCAAAAAATTTAAGAAGTATATTTCCGTTTAATAAATTTGACAATGTTTATTCAGTCCTTGCATTTGATAAAATACAACCTTTTGAATATGTTGGTCATTCAGGGCAGAGATCTAGTCGCAAAGTAGATAGTTCTCTGTGTGCAGAATGACCATGAACTGTCTAAGAAATACTTACCAATGCAAAAGAAGTTATAACCACAAAAGTGTGCATTTATGTCAGGTTTGACATACACGCTATTAAAATAAATTTTGAACGATTTAAAAAAATCCGATGGTTACAACAAGCAGTCACTCTTTGTTGAAATGTTGAATCAAAATTTTTCCATTGGTTACTTATTGAATTTGATTATTGATATTTCTCGGAATATAAAAGTTCTTGTTATATTTGACATTCTTGTATACCATTGGTATTTGAAGATGCATTATTTATTTATACGTTGAGTTTCGATAATAGGGAAATGTATTCTAAGTATTCCCTGAACGTACTGAACCAACAGCCCAATGTATAATTTATTTTTTAAATCTAAAAAGAACAAGTCTGTTTGCATGTAATCCGTGTAGATGTTTCGTCGGTTATTTGTTTATTTATTGTCTGTAAATTTTAAGCAGTTTCCCCAAACAACATACCGGATGTTAATGCTGTAAATCTCAGATGACTTAGTTTAACAACAATAACATTGGGAGTTTGAGTCACAATTCTTGATGATCCATGGTAAAATTGTGAAAAATGAACACTCTTTGCAATCTAATAATTTTACAATCTTGAAATTTAAATATTTCTTTACAATCAGGTACACTTCGAATTCAGTTTTGTCCCGCAGGGTTATTGAAAGAAAAAAAGAATAATATCATGTTTCTGTTCTGAAATAAGAAGATTTAACTGTATAAATTGTAAGGCATGTGTACGTGTTCAATATAAAATACATTGTATATACCAATAAATACACAACTGCTATAACGAATATAATTCTTGAGTGTGTAACGATGACATGAATTAAGTTGCCTATTTAATGCATGTATAGGAACCAACACAAGCCGTTGCTTGCAGAACCGACTGGGTTCAATATATTAAGAAACCCCGGTTCAATAGAAACCAAAGAAATTGTATGATAATAAAGAGCTTTGTTAATTTTGTTTTATTTTATTTTTCAGTATCGTCAACACCTTTACAAGCTAAAATAACACCAGAAGTTTCTTTTTCTGCTAAACTCAGTTACAACCGAGAGTTACAGCCACTGGATACTGTCATCTTCGATACGATTGTGACCAACAATGGTGACGGTTACAGCTCAGAGACCGGTAAATTTACCACACCTGTCACCGGTACCTACTTCCTCTTCTCCACCATTTTGTCTGGTTACAACACAAAAGTAGAAACCGCCATTATTGTTAACGATAAAGAAGTTGGCAGAATGTACTCGGGAGCCCATGACGCTCACGGGTCTGGAAGCAATGGCGTCATCGTCAATCTTCAAGCTGGAGACAGCATCTGGATTCGACTGCTTTACCAAGGAGGAACCCACGTTCATGGTTTTTACACAACCTTTTCGGGTTTCTTGGTGAACGAGAGAAGTACCTAAACAAACTAAACCAAGAATTAGTGACACTTTATCTTTCGCGTGTATATTTTATTTTAGAACTTCTTCATTTTCACGTTATTCATAACACATTAAAATAACATTCTAATTAAGTTTAATCTTCCACATTCTTATTCAACATTTCTTCATTAAATTTTAAAGCTATGTATTAATTTATTCCCTAACGGCTATTAAAACGTCTTATTTCGTTGTATTCTGTTTCGTATAGCGAAGTTGGCAATAAAAATGTATTTTTCAATAGATGTGTTTTTTGCTTACAAGTCTGAATAAATTTTACTCGATTTAAAAAGCCAAACATTAACAATACCAAACTCATTAATTAAAAAAAATGAATAAACATATTTTTAAATTTTACCTGTATACAAGGATCTCGGGTGGAATATTTAACGTAATGAATGGCGTGGGCAGAGGTGATCGTTGTCATAGGGCACGACTCAGAAGAGGCCCAAAATTGATATCGGTTACCTTGATAAATCTGTTTCAGCTTTCTTCCAATTGTCTTTTTAAAGCGGCAATGTGTTTATTTAAGCCAAAATATTCTGTTGATATTATCACCTTTTAATAAAAATAATTGTTAGAAATACTAACACTTAAAGCTCCGTATTTGATTGATACCCATCGTTTATGTCTCGATAAAAGACATTCTGTTTGAGAAAAGTGAAGGTTTGTAAGATTCAGCAAGTTTATAATGACAATAATACAGTATAGTATGGTTGGTTTCTATCAACTAATAATAATATAGCTACTTTAAGTGGAGTAGTGATAGTTATTGTCGTTAAAGGTACGTTATCACAGACTAAGAGACAAATATACCTTGGCAAACTATAAACAATCAAGTAAATTTACCAAAACCAATTTGACCCAAAAATCATTACAAACGATCAATACTTGGCATGTTTTGGCCAACTAAGTCTTTACTTTCTATTGATTTCATACCTTTGTCTTTGTCATCTCATGATACCTTTAAACTCATTTTCATCTGTGAACATCGAGCTTAAAACATTTAATAAAAATCTTGATAATATTTATATACTCACCATTTTTAAAAACGCACTTTACTACTCTATTTAATCTTGCTTCTGTTCATGCAATTCGGGATATATAATTTCTGTTTGTTAATATAACCTAGAACAACATATTATGGCCAAATAGAAATGACATCCTGTTAATGCCTCGAGTTCCTTTTATAGTTGGGGTAATTTAGTTGGCTAATTAGTTAAATAATACACAACTGGTATTAAATAGTTAGGATCGGAAACTGCCTGTTATCTTATGAATGTTAATCGAGGGGAGATCCTGCCAGTTTATGCAGTAAATGAGACCTTTTCAAGGCCAAATGGAACTGAATGAAATTTACATTGGCTGAAATGCGCGCGAATCGCCGACAGACCGTACACCAAATCTGACATGTTTCATATTTATGTCAATAATACACCTTATAAAATATGTCTAAATATATGTATAAATCGAAATCTTAAACTTGGAATTGAACTATCGGCACAAATTGATCTTTTTTTTTTAAATTAAAGATTTCAAATATATTCTAACGACCGCATCAATATATTTCTATATATTTTACATTGTTTAAAAAAACATACAGACTGCTTCAGAATAATAATTGTGCTATAGATTTTCATCTTGAACAAAACATACAGACTGCTTCAAAATAGTTCTATAGATTTTTCATCCTGTAAAACCATTCCTTTTTTGCCTAAAATGTGTGTTTCTGTGATTGAAAAATAACCAGTTTAAACATACATTATGCAAGAGCTAAACCTGCCTATTGCAGGTCTTTCTTTAGGCCCGAAATGTTATCTAAATTATTAATTAGACATTAAATAACTTATCCAGACCATAATCAACTCTCGATGTCAACGCTAGCCTGCGATATTTATTGGATTATGACCCGATCTGCTGCTCAACTTTCATTCATGATTTAATCATGAAATGGATAATCGAGACTATGCTTTTTATCGTACCGACTTTAGTAATGTTGATCGAGGCTAGGCCGAAATTTCAATCGCTTAATTCTCGGTTTATAGTGGATTAATTTGACTGAAATTTTCAGCGAATTGCCTCTACGTTATCTAGCTTTTAACTAGTATAGTGAGAACTGCCAACTCTTTATCTTATCTTCCATAATGTATCTTTAATAAGCCGTTCCCTATTTAAACCAACTTAGTTACATTGAAATGAATATTGTTAAGGTATATTCATTCGACGCTAACTCAATGCGATTTTTACAAATACTTCTCCCCACTGCTTCGTTTGATTATGCCTAATTCCTCTCAACCACTGCTGGACAGACTTCTGATTCCTATCCCAATTTATCACAGAGGTAACGATCGGGTTAAAAATTAATCCAATACAACCTAACAAATCACTTGGGATTGACCAGAGATCTAAATAATTTAACTGAAAAGGTATAAAAAATGCGTCCGAAATGTATTTACAGCGATTAATCTGCTCAAAGTAGAATAGTGCAGAAAAAAAAAGTAATTGTGTGATAAACGAAGCTATCCGAAACGGCCGAAACGTAAACACTTATGAGGAATTCGTTTATCGAAATGAAATGAAATGAAATGGGGTTTAACGTTCTATTGTTCTGCACCGACTGGGCTAATGAAGGCAGGCATACGCCATACAGTGTGCTATGAGGGAAATTTTGCCGGGATAGCGGCGCTGCGGCTCACTCATACCGAATTCCAACTGCCAAGGGATCGTTAACGTGCACGCCAATGTATACACAGGACCTCACTTTTTCGTCCTATTCGAACAACTATACGTTGAACTTTCTCGGCAGACACAGGGATCAAACACGGGACCTCGAGTTTAGCGATCCTAACCCACTGAGCTACAATCCATTTATCATCTGTTGGTCCACGAATCAGACGAACAACATTTTCACCATCTTTAATACATTTAATCAACTGTCTAAAGTTTATTGGAAGACCCCAGATCAAAGAGTCGGACTGTCGTGTTACATAATATCAGTGGTTTCAACAGACTGAATAGAATCCATCTACGACATCCAACAATGGGCGATAGGACACATTTGATTGGGCGATACAAATAAACACGCTCCGTTAAACGTCCAACTTTTGGTTCAAAGTACAGCAATGGTTAGATAGGGATATTTTGGGCCACAGCTTCAGGAATATGTACTATAACTGGAGACTTCTAACAGTGGCACATTGTGCTAGGAATATCTCTTACCGTCCAACTGGGGGGGGGGGGGCAAATGGTTAGCGCGTGCGCGTTGCATCATAAGGTCTGTTATTGAGTCAACTGGCGTGGATTCGATTCCCCGGTTGTACGTGACAGGGAGTAGGGTCGCCTATCCAGCCTTGTGGGTTTTCTCCGGGTCCCCCGGTTTCCTCCCTCTGCTAAAGACCCCTACGCGCCAGTGATTTCGTGAAATAAAATTAAACAATATGTTAGTCCCGAAATGATCTAGTTTGTGTCGAGTGGACGTTAAACCCCATCTCTCTCACTTTGTCTTTTGATTTCTTTCCAAATCAATTGAAATTGGCATTAACACCCTACTTTTCTGCATCGACTTGGGCTAATGAAGATGGGTTTACGCCATACAGTATGCTGTGAGGAAAATGTTGCCCGGACAGCGGCGCTACGGCCTACTCTTAACTCGAATTCCATCTGTCAAAAGTTATTTTATATGCTCGCTAATGAGAAAATCGGGACTTTTTTTTTCGTCCCATCTGAACAACAAGACGCTGCACTTCTGACAAGGGCAAGTCGCGCTGGAATATCTCGAGGAACGTTTTCGGCCAATACCGGGAGTGAACCTTGGACCTTCTTGTTACAGATCCAGCGTCTTACTGACTGAGCCACCGCGACCCTCAACCTCTTTATAACAATATTTATATTATAATCCAGAATGCATCTAACATCACAGGATTTCACCCCGAATCTACAAAGCAAATATAAAAGTATAGATTAGTTAATGGGATAAATCAAAACAAAACAGGAAACAACACAGCCAACTGAAGATCAAATAGCACACTACTTTCACTATTATTTATTTTAAGATAACCTTAGATAATGTACATGACCTACAAATCAGGAGATTTATATTAACAAATATTTGGATTATCAATTACCAATAGCCCCTACCCCCCAAAAAACAAAAAAACAAACAAAAAAACAAACAAAAACATGTGATTAAGGGTGAATGGTAGAGTTGTGGTGCAGGAAGTCAAACATAAACATTGAATATATTCTAAAAACAAAGAAAATTGTTCCTCTTAGCTCGGGGGGGGGGGGGGGTTGATGCCCGAATGGTTAGCACGTGCGCGCTGTATAATAAAGCCTGTCATTGAGTCAACTGGCGTGGTTTCGAATCCCCGGTTGTACGTGACAAAGAGTAGGGTCGCCTGTCCAACCTCGTGGGTTTTCTCCGGATCCTCCGGTTTCCTCCCACTGCTAAAGATCCCTACGCGCAAGCGAATTGTTGAAATAAAATTAAACCATATGTTAGTCCCGAAATGACCTTGTTTGTGTCGAGTTGGCGTTAAACCCCATTTCTCTCTCTCTCTCTCTCTCTCTCTCTCTCTCTTAGCTCAGAGTTGCGGGCGCAATGAGTATGCGCGGTGGCGAGGCCAAGAACCAATAACAAATGGTCCAAATCAAGCTCCGTCGCTCGAAGGCAAGAAATAATCAGTGTTAAGAAACCAAAGCGCTAATTGGCTTCGTGTTGTTTACTTTAACCGAAATGCGAAGTCATGAAGCCGAGTAGATATCTGTCATGAGAAGCCCCAGAGAAACCGAAAGTTGAAGCTTTGATAATAGTTACCCAAAGGAACTATTTTTGTAATAATCTTAGAGGCAGTTTGTAATCAAATTGGTTTAAAGATATATTTGTGGTGATGCCCCAAATTCTAGATAGTCTGGAGGCTCAGCGCGGGGGTGTGTCCATCAAATGGCCAAAAAACCAGACCCAACTTTTCTGGAGTAAAATTTTGCGAAGAATACGATGCCGAGTGGTAATCAGTCGGCCGTTGGGGTGTTTTCGAGATATTCGGGGTCAAAGGTCAAATGGATTCATTTGCACTGAAAATGTATGCGCAGTCATTCTTGTATCAAGAAAATAAGCTGAAAATGATCGAAAGTAATCACACTTTCAATAAAAATATAAACTTGATAAATTCACCTTTGTTTTTTGTGACCCCAGAGGTCAAAAGGTCACATTTTCCGTTTTAGCACCAGGAAGATTTAAAG